AGCCGTTGGGAGCCCCCGCGAGCCCCGGCCTGGTGGCTGCTCTCTCCCTGTTTCTTAGCAAATCGGGAGTTAGTTTTATCTTCACAGTATTAACGCTCGGTAGGCCCGGGTTCCTGCGAGCGCCGTTCTCTTCGTATTATATGAAAACCCATGGATATTCAGTAGACTCATAGAATCATTCTGATTGGGAAAGACCTTCAGGATCATAAAGTCCAACTGTAAACCCATTCGCACCATGGCTGCTAAACCATGTCCCTAAGTGCCTCATCTACACGTTTTTTGAACGCTGCAGGCCATGGGACAACGACTCCACCACTTCCCTGGGCAGCTTGTTCCAGTGCTTGTACTGAAGCGTGTTATTCATTTCAAAATGTGCCTTTACTTGTTTCCTTTTCTGGTTGGCCTTAGTATTTGCTGACTGGGAAAATAACAAATGTGCTTAATTGGGAGGTCAGTAGGAATTACACGAAAGCTTTGTCCTGTATTGATTTTGTCTGGCCTTTGAATGCTTGGCTTTGGCTGGAACGTAATGCTGAATTTAACTTTATACCAGAGTTAAGGGGGAAAAAGACGCCCACGTGCATGGTTGTGTGCACAGGGAGCACTTGTGCTGATGACGGGTTTTGCATCATGCCTACGTACGTGTCACGCTACTGTATAGTGCCATCTGCAGCTCACGTCCCCCTTTGGACTTCAATGAATCCAGCCATACTAAGTTGGGTGTTGATGAAGTATCTGGCCTAGTGCCTCTGTGGCACGGACAAGGCTTGTTTTCTGCGGAACTCAAACGCTTGGTTCATGTAATTTGTGGGTATATAATGTATAAACTAAAATATAATGAATAAAATGTCAGGAAAACAGGAGATGAGCTTACTCATTATACCCCTAAACTTAACTGCATAAAATTGTATTTCATCACCATGTGCAGAACCTGCATGTATGGCAGTATAGACCATATATGATTTTATGCTGATTAATGTGTGATTAACATGTAATGTAGTGTTACATGTATCTGCAAAGAATTTATATGGTGTCTGACACAGAGAACTCTTCTGCCATTGAGAACCTCTGCTTGAATCAGCCCACACACAGGGACTTAGAGCAGGAAATTAACTGTGAGCAGCCTCAGGAGTAGTACAGAAGAACATTTCATTGGATTTCAATGTTGGTTTAGTATGAGTAGCCTGGAAAAAAAAAGTTGCTTTAGAGCTGTTGGTTTTATTTTCATTAATGAGAATATCCATAAGTCTTCTGATTTGACAGGTATTAGCAGTAAGTTATAATTAGATGTTGACTGGAACATTACTTTTGTGATAAACGTTAGTTTACCTCTATCTTTTAATGCCTTGTAACTATTTCAGTTGTAGGGTTTTGTTCGCTTGTATCCTTTTCCACATCTTTAGAGCAATAGAGTGCATATCTAGAGTTGTTTTACTTAGCTTGGTTGAATTTGGCTTCATAGAATTAATAATTTTTAAAAAGGTGCACCAAGTAATTCTAAAGCGTTTAGATACAGATATATATACATATATGCACACATACACATATATATATAAAACATTAATGTATATATATAATAGTGAATAAGTTGTAAAGTCTTCTTCCAACAGGATGTTTCCAAGTTGACGCCTCTCTCACCAGAAGTCATCAGCAGACAAGCCACAATTAATATAGGTAAAAAATAAATTTCTAAAAAGGAGGAGGACATTAACGTGACTCTGGCGCTCATGTGTTAGCATATAGTACCTATTCGACAGGATTTTTAAAAAGTTTTTATTGAAGCAGACATAAAACAGATATAAACAGTTCATAGACTTAATGTTTGTATTTTAAATGTTATCAAGAAACAGAAGGAGACTTGTTAAAACTGTGATTTTTATTGCAGGAGTATTTTATTGAAGGAAGGATGGGGAGTGGTTGCTAAAGCAAAATTTATTATATTTTAAAATTAGGCAGTAAAAGAGTTTCATGAAAATGCAAACATCTGTCCATTGTGAGCACATCTTAAGATTTGGTTTGTTTAAGCAAAAATGATTAAATCCATATGTGCTCCATATAAGCTCTGGACTTACTGATTCTAGAGGTTTGTGGCAGTAATATACAGATTGTAATGAAACATTACACAAATTAAACAACTGCTTATTGTTAAACACTTGCTTTTAAAACATAGGTACAATTGGCCATGTAGCCCATGGAAAGTCAACAGTAGTCAAAGCTATATCTGGAGTTCACACTGTCCGATTTAAAAATGAACTGGAGAGGAACATCACCATCAAGCTGGGTTATGCCAATGCCAAGGTGAGTCATTACAATGAATCTGGTGAATGTGCTTAGTTAGATTTACGGATGTATTTGAGGTTGGATATAAGCTTGTAACTATAAACTTCTGTTTTTTAAAAAATACTTACAGATTTACAAGCTGGATGATCCAAGCTGTTCCCGACCAGAGTGCTACCGATCTTGTGGAAGTAGCACCCCAGATGAGTTCCCTACAGATATTCCTGGCACCAAAGGGAATTTTAAACTAGTCAGGTAACGGCTGTAAAACAAAGGATATAAACTGTGTTTGTTTGTGCAAAGAGAGGAAGCAACTGAAAATAGATAGAATTGAATGGCAAGCTGAATAAATGGTTCTGCAGGCCACATTCTTGTACAGGCTGTAGGCTGGGTATTGCTGACCTGAGGTATCAGTTAAACTTTTTTTTTTTTTTTTAATTAGTGATGGTGCACAACCCTGGGAAGAGCATAGCAGTCTTTTCTGTCCTTGGTTATTTTTAATGCTGTTCAGTACATTTTTTTTTTCTGCACTTAATGGAAATACATTTTAAAGCTACTAAAGTAAGAATTAATGTGGACCCCACAAAGCCATTTCTGAAATTCCTTTTTGGAATATAGTCCTTGTTAAACTTTCTCCCTAAATGCAGGAAGGTATTTAGAGTTCCTAAAATGGATGTGTGAGAGCTAGGTGCTTAACATAAGATTGGGCCTGTAACTAGCAGTCAGGCATCTTTCATTTACTTCTCTTCCAATGGGAACAGTCACAAAGGCAGTTGTGCAAGATTTCTAGTTGGTGCTTATGTGTGAAGTGCTGTTACTGCTCTAATCACGTATTTCCTTCCTTTCCTCAGTTTCCCAGTAGGACATTTGTTCTAACAACAGGTTTTGGTGGACTTTGATAGTTATGCAGCCATGATTAAATCGTTGCTTAAAAGCTTGGAATTCTTTTGCTTGCTCTTTATTTGCTTATTGTAGGTTTTTACTTGTCAGCTAGCAACAAGTCAGTCCTTGCTTTTTAGCGGCATGCTACCAAGAATTAAGGATTCTTGGCAGACATAGTTTGTAGCTGAAGTGCATCAATTATTATGAGCTGCACAGTGGAATTGTAAGTTTGGAACTAACAGCTGTAGTGTTGTCAGGGTAGATAAATTTCAGAAGTGAAGTGCAGTTGTAACTATGTAATTAAAGACAAATATTTTCTAAAATTAGATAATGGGAGACATCTTTTAAAACATATAAGTGAAAGTATAATAGGCTATATTCTCTGTGTGTGTATTTAACCTGATGCATTTAAGTGCAGTCAAATGTTTGGTAACTGAAATATTAAAGCAATACCTAGTTTGAAGATACAGTTTTGAATCTTTAAACTCAGAAAAATTATTCTGTAGCTGACTCAGTAGTTTCTATACTTCTATGAAAATATTTCCAATTATCACTTCTCAGTAGCTCTGAAATGCTCGTTTCTTTCTGTTTTTGCTGTGTGTTTCTTTTGGTTGGTTATTTGTTTGCATGTTTTTAATCTTTGTGTCTGCTTAGCATCCATGTAAACCGGTCACAGAAATTGTTAATAAATGACTTTTGAATTTCTTTCTGTCTTCTTTTCACCTACAGGCATGTCTCTTTTGTGGATTGTCCTGGCCATGATATTTTGATGGCTACTATGTTGAACGGTGCAGCAGTAATGGACGCAGCTCTGCTGTTGATAGGTAATGATTGGTACCCAGAAACAGAGCTTTTTTTTTTTCTTTTTTTTTTCTTTTAAATTTATATATCATTAAACTATTTTATAGAGATTTTAAAATTCAGGGAGCAGTGTTAGAGTGATTAGTCAAAAAATGTGTTATTGAGATGTGTTTAAAAAAGCTTCAGTGGTGCTATAAAAAGTACCGTGACTTTGTTTTTTCTGTATTTAAAAAAAAAAAAAATCATTAGTCTGGTAGTTGTCCCAGTTGATGCATAGATTGGTAGGTTAAAATGAAATCTTTTAGTGTATAGTACAGTCAAATGTTTATTATTTCACTGAAATACATTTGGCTACAGGTAAATCTTGCATTTCTCTGAAGCTCTCATTTTGCTTTAATTATGAATACTGATTTAGAAAATTCTTTCTCTGATTTTCAAACAGTGGAGGAGATAAAGTTGACTTTCATACATGTGTAGAACAGTATAGTGGTTGGCAGTAATAAAGAGTGCCAACAAAGGAGATCAGCATCTTTAGTCAGAGTAGTTTGAATAGCCACAGGTAGTTAATAAGCTGCTGTTCCTTCTGTCTCTTAGAGCTAGAACAGCTAGAATGGATGATAGATAAGGGAGGCTCAAACATAATAATGACGTAGCCAAATGACATAAAAATGAATAAACCAAAGAAGGTTTCTTGTGTACCTGGAATCCTAACTGTGCTGGAAATTGCCCTCTCTGCATGTTTATTGCATTTATTGTCTGTCATACAGTTACAGGGTCTTGACACTTTTATGCCTTTGGTGATAAGAAAACAGTAAAGAATTTTAAGGCGTTTTGAAAGGTCTGTTATGTTGCAGTCATTTCTCAGCTGTCTAAAGACCTAAAGGATGGAATGATTCAAATAGACACGAGTTAGGTGTCACTGCCTTGGAAATTTAAAATATTTGTTTCTGTTAGGAGCAAGCAGAATGGGGACTCAAGTGCCAGCTCTGGTACCCCATCATCTCTCATGTGCTGTGTATATGCTGAAGCTAAAAAGTCTTAGTAGATTGCTAAGCTGGGTGTTTTGTATATAAGTTAATAAGAGGTGATTGTAGTATTTTTATAAAGACACAGTGGAAAGGGTGGGGGATTTGTGTGTCTTGATAGTTTCTGTATTGCAGTCACTTTTCTTCTTTCAGCTGGTAATGAGTCATGCCCTCAGCCCCAGACCTCAGAACATCTAGCTGCTATAGAAATCATGAAGCTGAAGCACATTTTGATTCTACAAAATAAGATTGATTTGGTAAAAGAGAGTCAGGCTAAAGAGCAATATGAACAGATCCTTGCATTTGTACAAGGTAAGTTTTCAACAGCAGAAATTCAGTCAGTGATGGAAGTTCCTCAGGGTTGTAATGTTTTGTAATGTAATGGTTTTCTTTTCTACATGGCTGTAGAAAAGTTTCTCTTACGTGGATTATACAGGTTAAAAAACAGATGGTTTGAAGCATGCTTCTTCTCTGTTTCAGAATGCATAAATACAGTAATGTAATTGATGTAAAGCCAATGGCAATAGCTAATTGACTATAATAAGACCAAGTTATCACAAAGTAGTATTTTCAAAGTTTAGAGTCATTGCCTTGCATAAGCAGCTCCTCATAACAGCTGTTTTGGGGTCACTTGGTGCATAAATTTGTCAGTCTTTTGTGAGAGCTAGAGTTATAGAATCTAAATATCATTAGTTTTATTTACCAAGTCTTGATAATTCAGTGTGTTCTTTTATAAAACTAAGATTTCTCTAAAATATTTATTTTTACTGCAAAACTTAAAGATCATGATTAAAGTGAGATAGGAATTCTGTTTCCTCAAAATGAAATCTAATCATGAAGTAAATGCATCAAATATTTAGGTACATGATTTCTGTTGGAAAATAAATGTTATGGCTTGAAGTAAGCAGTGAGGACCATTTATCGTTTTTAAACAATAAAATGTATTTCCATTTACACCCTCACAAAGTGAAAAATTTGTATAGTGTGGTCAGCATGGGGCTAACCATTCAGCCTGGGAGCTTCCCTTTCATGATATGTTCTACTACTATGATTTTATCCAGAGCGTGTGTGTTTACAACTCCTCCTTTGCAGAGATTCGTAGTGTATCCAATGTCTTCTTGAGATTTGGGAATTAAATGGCTCAAGTTATCCTCTGAACTTGATCCTAACTCCTGATCACCATGTAAGAAGTGAATTCTCTATTATAACAGCAGCTTATCTTAGAGAGCAGCTGTATAACTTCTGTACGCAGTCACCCAGAGTGCAACATGACATGAGGAGGGTTGTTTCAAACTGCTTTGAGAAGTAGGTCTGGTTGCCCTTTGAGCCAAAACGGTGGAGTGTTCTGTTACCTGTTGCTTTTGGAAATGACTGTAAACAGTGCCTTACACGTTGTTAGTGCTTTTAACAGTGATGGAACACTTGGTTATGTTTCTGCAAATCCTATGGTAAGGCTTAATGCTGAACTTAACTTTGCTTTAGGTACAGTTGCAGAAGGAGCGCCAATTATTCCAATCTCTGCACAGTTGAAATACAACATTGAGGTAGTTTGTGAGTATATAGTGAAGAAAATTCCAGTCCCTTTGCGAGACTTCACATCCGAACCAAGGCTTATTGGTGAGTATAAGCTCATGTCTTACTGCCTTGGCTCGTGTCTTCCTACGCACGTGTGTGAGCCTCTAGTG